AGTCGAGTCAACCAACACAGGAGTCGAGTCAACCAACACAGGAGTCGAGTCAACCAACACAGGAGTCGAGTCAACCAACACAGGAGTCGAGTCAACCAACACAGTAGTCGAGTCAACCAACACAGGAGTCGAGTCAACCAACACAGGAGTCGAGTCAACCAACACAGGAGTCGAGTCAACCAACACAGACAGAAGTCGAGTCAACCAACACAGGAGTCGAGTCAACCAACACAGAAGTCGAGTTAACCAACACAGAATTCGAGTCAACCAACACAGAAGTCGAGTCAACCAACATAGATGTCGAGTTAACAAACACAGACGTCGAGTCAACCAACACAGGAGTCGAGTTAACCAACACAGCCGTCGAGTCAACCAACACAGACGTCGAGTCAACCAACACAGACGTCGAGTCAACCAACACAGACGTCGTGTTAACTAACACATACGACGAGTTAACCAACACAGCCGTCGAGTCAACCAACACAGAACGTGCGCTGCTGGGGCGGCCCCTATTAAAAATCAAGGCTGGCACACCGGCGGCTATGGTCTACAGTTCCATCTTAGTGGGAATTATAGCCGCGTCAGGGTCGGCCATTAACTGATCACTGATGAACGTTATGTAATTGACCTGTGAGTTAGTGAGCCAACAACACACCAGTGAGTTTAGTCAATCCAACAACCAAAACAAACGTCGTGTCAACCAACACAGATATCGAGTCAACCAACACAGTAGTCGAGTCAACCAACACAGGAGTCGGGTCAACCAACACAGTAGTCGAGTCAACCAACACAGGAGTCGAGTCAACCAACACAGGAGTCGAGTCAACCAACACAGGAGTCGAGTCAACCAACACAGGAGTCGANCCGCTTCTTAATGCCCTCGGTATTCCTGGCTACGGTGAGCGCTGCGTTCAGTTAACAGGGGCGCTCTAAACGATATAAAAATAAAAAGTAATATAATATATGCGATTGTATGATGATAATGTATGCGATTGTATCCAAAATATGCAATTCGCTTTCGTTTGGGTTGGTGCAATAGTGTTGGTTATGTCGAAATCGTTGGAAATTAGCCGTTTCATCTCATAGAAAAGAAGTTACACTGGCGAGATAATATGTAAAAATTGCAATCACATGTAAGCCTAGTACGTCACGTTTGAAATTAAACTGCATTACAAAATTTGAGAAATATCTTTCATTATTAACATGAACGTTGAAGAACTTAGTTAAACTCGTCGATACGTTCTTTCACATTTAACAGGCTTTTAACATACGCATCCAGTTATCAAAGCCTGAACACTTGTGGGTTGTTAGCTTCGGTGTACTAAGTGCAGCGTTGACTCAGGCTTTATTTTACTGACATCCAAATGGTGGTTTATGTGAGATATTTCACAGTGAGTAATGATTACACATTGAGTTCCGACAATCTATTCAGAGTTTTAAGAGCTCCAGATCACGCCACACCGCTATTACTGCAATGGTTTCGAATATCCACACAGATGTTCTGGAACATCCACACAGATGTTCTGGAACATCCACATTGATGTTCTCGAACATCCACAAAGATGTTCATGTCTCTTATACACATCAAGATGTGTATAAGAGACAGGACAAATGTCGAACATAAACAATTAAAAGCTGGGAGTGGCAATGTGGAGAAAAGCTTTAAACAGTGATATAAAAAAATTGGTCGGGCGGAAAAATATTAGCAAATTTGACAATTTTTGGCCGCCCATAAGCCGCCTATTAGGAAATTTAATTTAGTGCCTGAAAACCTGCAAGTTATTCAACTAAGAAAACTAAGCCTCTCGTAATTCTCTATTAAATTTAAAATAAGATAAATGTCTTCTAATTTCGTTAGAACTAATTCAGCGCACATTAGCCACCTATAAACCACCGATAACTTACTGCGCTGGTAGAGCTACACTCAGATGCTATGTCCAAATAACACACTTTTGTGGGTCATCTTAACGCAGTTTGGGCCGGCAAAAAGATATATCAGTGCTACATCCACTCTCTGCTCGTTTTGTGGGTTAAAAAGCAAGAAACAGCTCATTCATTTCTTTGAGTGTAAAACTATTAGCAAGCCTATACAAACCCCTTTATTTTCACCTGTAACACTCATGCCAAGCACCAGGGCCGGCGTATTGTCGGCCAGAAATTCTGTACCACATTCGTATTCTGGAAGACGCGGCGCAGATTTCACGGCGCACAATCAATCCTGCGCGCTCGTTATGCGCGGCGCCCAAGACGAGCCGTGACCGACGCTCCCCTATTGAAACGCGCGTGTAATTACGCGCGCCGGGTATGTATAGCTGCCGTGATGCACACAGGGAAATGAGCGCGGCTTTGTCCAATTAGTGATACACTTGGGTCCTTGGGTAGGAAATTCTGCTTAATTTGGCCCAGTAAAATGAGTGTATCAATACAGAAAGTGGGTAATTTTGTGGACAATATGCCTCATTCACTTTTTTGAGAGCGGGAGTTGTTAAGGGTCGGTTTATTGGCGGCCAGTGGTTGGCCGGGCAAGGACTTTTTGAGGGGGCAATTTTTTTAGAAATTTGGCGAAAACTCAGAGAATAAAATGTGTCATATTATCTAGATAGTGACACTTTCTTGTCCTGAGCACGAGCAGAGAGTGAACGTTTTACTGATACGCCGTACGTTTTGCAAGGCCAAACTGGGTCAAGATGACTCATACGAGGAAATAAATGTGTCGACATTTTGACAAAGTCTCATTTCCTGGAGTGACGAGATGTCAAATTAAAGGCGAATTATCGGTGGCCACAAAATAGCCTGCTGTTCTTGACCACTCATTATCTGAAAGGGGACGAAATGGTCGTGTTATAGGCGGCCAAGCGACGCCTATACTTGATTTTTTTTATTATTTAATAAAAGAATAATTAGAACAATGCTAACCCACAATCGTTGGCAGGTCCTAATTAACCAGCGGCCGGTAATAACGCGTCCATGAGGATCGTTAGTCGACGATAACGCGGCGATAATACGGCACAACTTAAGCATAAGCGTTGGCCGACGATACTGGGTCGATCATACGTTTCTTATCTTGCATAAACACTAGCCGGCGATACGCCAGCGATACTGCCGACCTTATAATACACAAAAAAAGTTCTGGTACCGCCTAGGCTTCTGCCCAAGAATCGCTACACTCGGCTTGAAGTTACTCTGGGTTTACTTGGCCGCTGGTCGAAATCAACTTCTGTTCGAATCTCCTTTCAGATTTTATTGTGTCATGATAGTATGACAAATAGTATGACCAATGAGTGCGACAATTTGTCCTGAGAGTAGGAGATGGATTGACCGAGCTGATTCATCCTGAACTTGCAAACTGCTCAGTTGAGGCTTCTCTCCAAACCCTGAGCCGAAGCGGACATGAGCGGCTGATTTACGTGCTCCCCGAGTCCTGGGCGGCACCTATAATGCACGCACCAAAATTTTGCCAAGGACGTACCATAAAGCAGTACCATGCACCAATGAAGCAGTACCAGGTAGTATTGAAGCAGTACCACGTACCAATGAAGCAGTACCACGTACCAATGAAGCAGTACCACGTACCCATGAAGCAGCACCACGTACAAATGAAGCAGTACCACGTACAGTGAAGAAGTACCACGTACCATTAAAGCAGTACCACGTACCATTGAAACAGTCCACGTACCCATGAAGGAGTAATACGTACCAATGAAGCAGTACCACGTACCAATGAAGCTGTGCCCAGTAGAGCTTATCAATGCTAGCAACGTACGGCTACCGAGGGCTGAATTAAAGCAATGGAGCCCCGGCGTCCAATTTACTCACCGGCACCCAATTTACTCAGCGGCCTCCAGTTTACTCAGTTCATTATAATTACACGCAATTAAAAACTCAGCCGCGGCCTACACAATGGATGTGGCGTGGCGCATGCGTTCTGAATACCAAGTGGCAGGGTCTGCATATCGTCGGCCTATCGTCGGCATATCGTCGGCCATTCGCTCTAGTTTATTCCACGGTGGTCTTCGGCGGCAAATTCCTCGTTGGCTGCCCGTAATTTTAGAAGATTCTGTTGAGGCGAAAGAACCAAGATTTGATTTTGGCGTTTCGGTGACAGGCTATATAGTGCGCCAATGATTATAAACCGCCTGCCACATCTGATGCCATGTGGCAATGCATGCGCCACAGCTCATGCCACTCGCTCATGCTATGTGGCGCGACGCATGCGCCACAGATCATGTCATACATGTATGCCACACGCTCATGCCACACAGTTGTGTGAAGAGTGACATTCCGCTACCGTGGGCTGTGTTGTCGATACTTCTTCCATCCTATAGAACCAGAGATGTTTTATTTTCAATACAAACTGGATTAATTTGAATCGTGTATATGTAGCGGTAGGTAGATTCATGTGAATATGTAGAGATAGATTCATTTGAATAAGTCAGTCTTTTCATTGCCGCAGTATTATTTAATAAATATTGCAATATTTTATGTCGCTATCGTTGGACGAAAAATTGGCAGATAGGTCAACGGATCTCGTATGCAATGCATAGACGATTTTTAGGCGGCCATATACAATTCAACGGATTTTTTTGACGTCTTCTGTTGAGCTATTAACTACGGCTAAAAAATGTAAAATTTAGGGGCATTATCTTCGGCCAACGAACAGCAAATAATCACTGAAATTTAGTTAACATGGTAGGGTGAGGCGCTATACCGCCTGCAATTTAACGTTTAACGTTATAAGCGCCGTTCAGCACGTGTTCGGCTATTTGTGTCAAAAAAGTACGTTTTTGAGTGAAGATCACAACCGATTTTCCAACATGAAGCAGATAAACGTAAATTTTTTCTGGAAAAAGCAGATCTCCCCTGATTTTCCCATGATGAATATAAGACTACCGCAGATTTTTCACCAAGAGACAAATCTACGTAGATCTTATCCCAAAAAAGCCAATCGTGATAGTTTTTTTCCAACGAAGCAAAGCGACGTAGATTTTTTCTCGAAGCAGCAGATCGTCAAAAGCTTTACTCCCAAGAAGCACATCAACATGCACGTTTTCCACTATAAAGTATCATCTCAGATTTTCCCCAATAAGAAGATAGACGCAGATTTTTCAAGGAAGGAGCAAATCGCCGTAGATTTTTTCACGAACGCAGATCTGTGAAGATTTCGCTAGACCAGCGTAGCTCTGTGCAGATTTCACTATACCAGCGTAGATCTGTATAGATTTCATTAGACCAACGCAGATTTCATTAGACCAGCTAAGATCTGTGCAGATTTAATTAGACCAGCGCAGATTTGACTAGACCAGCGCAGACCTGAGCAGATTTCACTAGACCAGCTAAGATCTGTGCAGATTTCATTAGACCAGTGCAGATTTGACTAGACCAGCGCAGACCTGAGCAGACCGGAGCTGGTGGCACAGGACAAATGTATTCATCACGAGGGGAGAGCCCTCGCCAGCTCCGTGTTAATTCTTTCGTTAAAGAGAGGGTAAGTTGTGTGTCAAGAGAGGGTAAAGAGAGGGTGAACAGAGGGTGATATGAGCACTGAAAGCGATACAATGGAGGGGGCCACCCGCAGACACACCATTATTGTCATGTGCTACAAATAATAGACGTACACGTGCCGTACGTACGTACGTACCACGGGTGCTGAGTACATTATTGTTGTACACGTACTGACACGTGTCTGTTCAAGTACACATGACGTACCCGCGCAATTACGGACAAATATGTACTAACTCTCGACTGGTAATATGGGATGCGTTCGTACGCAGGCTTTCCGCCTACAGTCCGAAAAATTTGCACATACACTCAGTCGCNCTCAGTCGCTTTGAAAAATTACAAATTAGTAGTACATTTAGTAGAAAACACCAAGTAGAAAAACATTTAGTAGAAAATTAG